CTCATTCCCATGGGTCGAACGCAGGGGGAAATGACAGTCCAGGTCCCAGCCCTGGGGACAGACCTCCCCAGCATCATTTACTCCTGCTTTCACTGAAAGGTGATACTGAAACAAGTCAAGATGCAGATCTGACCCTTTGCATTTAAGAATTTAGCTGCATTTTGCATGTAGCAAAATGATTTGTGCCCTCTGAGATGTGACACTGGGTTTGGGTCCAACTACCTCTGCAGCAATGGGTCCTGCTTCTTGCCCACGCCACCCCCCATGCACACTGCCAACCAGCTCAACTCTTCAGCACTACTGCACCTCGGACCCGAAGGGCACCGAGCATCCTTACAACCCTTATAACACTGTTAACCTCATCTTGTTTCCAACAGACATCTTTTAAAACCAAGCCTGCTTCTCCCTGACAGGATTGACTGTGCTGCCAGGTACCTCTTTCCATGCTGGCCAGCCTGGAAAGCACCACAGGCATGGCATCCCATGGCTCTGCGTCTCTCTCTTCAGCTTCCCTGGCTGCTCCCTGAGCTGCATGTGCTGCAGATGGGAGCAGATGGACTGTGCAGCAGAGAGCCCAGCTTTTGATGCTCAGTCCTGCGTGGATACAGCCTGCAGCATGCTCAGAAATAGTCCCACACACAGCATGGGAATAGCAAGGTGAGGGCCAAGAACTGCTTTTGGCTGAAAGCTACACCCCAAACTCTTCTGCATCTCCCAGCAGAGGTGAATTACAGCTGCAATTTCTAAGCATGTTGCAGGTGCTGTCTGCTTCATGGACGGAAAACATGGCACGAATTTACAACAAACACCAATTCAAGGGTTTCAAGTAAGATCAGAAATTACTTTCTCTGTTGGTTTGATTACTCAGCATTATTGGCCTGGATCTGTTCAGGGGCCCAGCTTCCCACAGAGCTTATTGCCAAATATTAAATGTGCTTGAGATGCCAGTTTGCTCAGGATGGTCCCACTCACTCCCAGGCTGTGCTGAAGGGCTGGGGCAGCCCCAGGGACGTGGACCTCAGCCACAGCAATGCAAAGTTTTCCCTCTTCTTCCTTCCCCCTGCAACACCTTAAGTTTTAGACATCACACTTGGTGCCTTCCCCAGTGAGACAGGGATTAGCAGAAAAAGCCACAACACTAAGGAGAGAGCTGCCAGGTGAGGAAACCACATGCCACCGCACGGCACACAACGCAAGGGCAGCGGCTATGATAACCCATGAGCACAGCAAAGTGAAAACAGGCAGCAGGCACAGCTGAGGAAGTTCCTTCACATCTCCAACACACCCTCTGTCTAAATCTGAAGTGGTCTCGCTAGCCATCACATTTACCAACCAAGGCTAAAACACAGGAGACTCTGCTCTTCCCCACACTCCAGCAAGAAGTGTCCTTGGAAGAAGAAACAGTCAAAACAAATCCTACCTCATGCTGACATAAGTTTCTGTTTTAATTAAGACTCAACAACTGGCAATAGGATCTCAAAGGGTTTCTGGCAGTAGGTCCAGGTCAAAAGCTCAGGACCCACAACCACCTTGTGCTGCTCTGCACCCAACCACCTGCTGAACTGGAATGGGAAGAATCAGGAGGTGATGCTCATGCCTGGAGGAAGGGCAATGGGACACACTGAAAGAGGCAGAGGAGATGGATGGATCTGCCAAAGGCAGTTCAATCCCAACCCGTCACCTTGTAAGCTGCACCACGGTGCACCAGCACACTGGCCTAGGCAGCAGGGGAAGGCAGGCTGGACTCCAGGGGAGCAGTGAGCGAGCCTTGCGTGGTCCAGAGCCCAGGGGCCATGCAGAGCCGCAACATCCTGGCTCCAGAGCAGAGCCTGAGCTATCACATTTAGGGAAACTTCCCATGAAAGCAAATTAAATGACAGTATCACTTGATTCCTTTAAGCCCAACCTTGTCTAATTCTATTCAGAGCAGCTCTGGATAGAAAAGCAGCAACACCACCAGAGGTCTTGCACCCCCATTCCACTGCTGCTAGTGGGGATGCACCTCTGGCAGCCACATGGGCTTCCCAATATAAACCAGAGCTGGATTAATGGTGTTTCACATGCCTGGGCTGGTGAAACATCTTCCAAGGAGAGCAAAGCCCAACCCATTTGGCAGCTAGCCCTCTCCTGCAGGAATAAGCTGTCCTGGCTGGAGAGCTGGGAGCAACCAGCTGGGTTTTGTCCAAGCAGCCTGGTCACAAAGCAACTGGCAGAAGCTTTAAGGGAATAAATTTGCTCGGCAGCTACCAGCCAAGTGGCAGCGACTCAATCCTTATCGGTGCATCTCCGGCATCCGGCGTGCCCGGGGAGGAATGTAGACAGCATCCCGAAAGCTGCACCCTTCCAAAGCACCTCCTTCCCAGGCAACTCAACAGGGTATTACAATCAGGTACTGCAATATCAGTTAAGGTTTACAAAGTTTTAAAAGGAAAATACTGGTAACCTGATGGTAGTTCTGCATCTGTGGGATCTGGTGGGATTTATTCCAGGTTTGGCTTTTCTGACAGGATGTGGAGTGTTATTACAAAGGCACAGGTATCAAATAAAACCAGCAACATTCTTTTAATTAAATATCCCAATAAAAAAATTAACACTCAATTTAGGCTTTACATATTCCTCCCTTATTAAGAGATTAGGTTTTGTTTTTTTCCCCTCTGGAAAGGTTTTAGTGCAGTGATTATATAGCAACAGAAAAATAAACTAAAAAAAGGCACAAACTGTTTTGTGTTTTTGTTTTGTTTCTTTGTGGTTTTTTTTTTTTGTCTTTTTTTTCTTTTTTTCTTTCAACTTTAACTAACACTTTATATTTGTCTATTTTAACTTCGGTTAATAAATCACTGAATGCAGCAAGAAAATATTCTGCCCATTTCTGTACACTATACAAAATCCCTACCAACAGTACATTATTTCAGCTTCAGGAGAAATGTACAGCATAGAAAGACTTTTAAAAATATAGTGCCCCATACAGAAATTTTGCTAATTAAACTCATGGTCTCTTGCTACAGTGCCCTTCACCTTCCTCATTTCCCCCCTTATTGCTGGGACACACACTGGGACTGTGCCCCTCCAGCTCCCTACAGGCTGGACCAAGCCCAAGCCCAGCACTGAGCGTGTTACCAGGGTTGTGCCAAACAGCTTCTCTGGCCCCAGGCTTGGTGCCTGGTGCATGGCCCCAGCAGGGATGGAGTGAGCCCCATCCCTGTTGCTCTCATTCAGCATCACCGGCCACGTCTCAGTGCTAGGAGGGCTTTTGGCTGGAGAGGAAAGGATAGCTCTTGGGAGTGGGACACAGGCAGCATCCCACATGTGGGTCCATGCTGTCTGCCCCCCATCAGCCCCACAGCTCACCTCCTCTCACCCCACACCGCCTCCCTTCTCTGGGGCTCTCCCACTGATGCTTCCATTGTGTTTGCAAGTGCAAGCGTGGTTAACACATGCTCTACCCTTTTGTCAAGATTATCATGATAGGTGGTGGGGGTTTCACCACCCCACCCCCCCCCGCATACACACGTAATACTTCATAAAACAGTAACTTTTTTCCCCCCAGGAACTAGATTAAAGGGGTTTTCCCTTTAAATGTATTAACAGCTGAACCCCTCCACCCACCCCAAATTAAGTGCAGCCAGAATGGTTTTCTGTATACTTCTGATACCACGCTTTAAAATGAAAACCTACCGATCTTCTTTTTCCCCAAGATGTAATTCATGCAAAGTTGCTATTTGTTTAAATAAGTTATAAAAGTTGATATCTCAGGCTAGAAGAAGCTGTAGTCTTGGTTATTCTTTAGTTGGCAGGCACTGTACATACATACCGGGTACAGACACATGCCGAATCTGCTTTGCATTGCTTTTTGCATTGTACAATTCACAAATCTGACATCATTAAAGCAGTTAATTACCTTTGATGGAAGGCTGCAGTGAGGCCATCTACATTTATCAAACAAGCAGCTGGTTAAGATAGTAAGTATGCTCCCCCCCCAACCCCCCCAGCGCTCCCCAAAATGCTATTATCTGTCACACGTTGCTTCTCTGAAGTGGCTAGATTTGGTGGGCACATTAATGTGCAAATGTGTTGCCATAGGAACTGCAGCCTCCATTACGCCTCAATGACACCATTCAGCAAAAGCCAAAACTAAAAATAATAACAACAACAACTAAAAAACAAGAAAGAAAGACCCCAACAACCCTGAAAAATAAAACAAAAAACAAACAAAAAACAACCCCCAAAAGGCAGCAAAGAGAAAGTCCAACGCACATGCGGAGCCTGGCCCAGGACTGCAGGTTACGTGTGGCTACAGAACAGCGCGGGAGATACTTAGGTTTGATCTTAACTTCACGCTATGGTACAATGGGGCTCAGAGTTCAGCCGGTCCCAGTCTGTGCTGGCTTAGGAAGGAGAAAGGAGTGGGGGGAAATGGAGCAGAGTCATGGTTACCGGATGCACCCAGGGTCTCTCGGGAATTTGGCAGAATGAGGCACATCCCAATAAAAGTGCAACACCAGTGCCGTGGTGGCAGTGCGATGTGTGAGTGCGTGCGCGCGCTTTCCTCTTCATGCATTGGAGCAAGCGGGTTGGGGCGGGGGGGTGGAATCTGCCCCCCCCACATCTTGTCTCTGGAAACTATTAACCAGTAACTAATGGTAAGACAAATGCATATTCTACTGACTGGTGCCCGAAATACTGAAAACTGCATTCAAGTAATATTTTCTGCACTACCATGAATGCGTGGCTATGTTATCTTACATTGGGAGCAGACTATGTACACCAGAGCAGTGGTAACCGTTTCGCAGTTGAGTTTCTGTGCTTTCCGGAGGTACCTGGGGAGGAGAGGCCGCCGCTCCGCTCCGCTCTGCCCCGCCACGTCGCAGGACTCCAGCACCACCACCTGCAGCATGCGAGGAAGGAGCGCTGCTCGGCCGGGCCATCGAGCTGCACGGAGCAAACCAAGAGATGACATGAGGGAAAAACAAAGACTCAACCCAACAACCGGCAAATCAAGTGATGAGAAAGAGGAGGGTGGTTTATTATTTTTGAAGGGGGAGAAGGAGGAAAATGAAAAATAACATTTTGTTGTTTTCGTTTGGTTGGTTGGGTTTTTTATTCTTCCCGCAGCTGCAGGCGGTAGCGGTGGTAGCGGAGCTGGAAAAACATTCTCTCCAGTAAGGAGCGCGTCATCCCCGGCAAGGCGTAATGTTCAACAACACCCACATGCTTGAACCCCAAGGACTCGTAGAGCTTGTGAGCTGCCATCTTCACAGCCGTGGTTCCCAGCACAACGGAGGAGTAGTTGTTGAGCATGGCGAACTCCAGCACTTTGCGGCCCAGGGCCTTGGCGATCCCTTTGCCGCGGTAGTTGGAGTCGACGGACATGCGGCGCAGCTCCACCGTGTTGTCCTCCTCGTTGCCCCGTGCTGCCACGATCCCCACCACGTTGCCGTCCAGGACGGCGACCCAGAAGCAGGAGCCTGCGGGAGATAAAGCAGCACATGTAGCCACTGGCCACCCTGGATGGGCAAGGCAGGCAAAGCACCCGTTGACAATCACAGCGATGGGAGCTAAGCTTGGGGTGGGAAATCACCCCTCTGCCACATGTGGGGACTAATGACCTCCGAATATAAGAACCAAATGTTCTTTTCCCTTGATGCTGTGAAGGGAATGTTGTTTTCCCGAGGAAAATGCATAGGAAAGTCACTACATGACATTCCCAGGGACCAAGCTTTGTGAAGTACAGATGGACAGAGACCCTCAGCTCACAGTGGCACATGATGGGTAACTGATGATGGCCAGCAGAGCACCAACAGCGGGAAACACCACATACACACCCAGAAAGAGCATTTCCTGTGCAAGATCAGGCTCACCCACCCCTTTTCCCCACAGGTTGGGGTGCCTGTGGCCAGGTCCCCCTTGCTTTGGAGCTGCTGCTCCTCTTTCTGCTGGAGAGTGCCAGGCAAGAAGCATCTCACAAGCTGGAAACATGGTCCTCAAGCAACTCAGGTCAAAATCACATAGAGTTTCACTGAGCAAAACCAGCCCATCCTTAACTGCACCCTGGCACTAGTGACAGACAAACCACTCCACAAACTAGGACATGGCTGAATGAACAGGCTGCACTTCTGGTGTGCAGGAGGGTCAGTACTGCTGCTCTGCCATGGTGCTGAACGCTCAGTAGGGTAAATGATGCAATTAAGAAGCCAAAGCAAAACCCCATCTAATCAAAGCCCAGCAGCCTGAAGGGCATCCAGCTGGGCTCAGGGCGAGCATCCCAGGGTCCCAAGCATTCCACACATGAAGCTCATATAAAACTGGACCTCGCTGAAGAGAAGCGCTGATACCATTCCATCCCACTGCTTGTACTGGCCGAGCGTTAAAGCCAGTGCAACTGGAAACTGCTGTAACTCTGGACGACTACAGTAGCACCCGGCCCCAACAGCAAGGGGACTTAAAAAACAAATGAAAGGCAAGTAAGGAACTACTCAGGTCTTAACTACAGATCTTTACAGAAAGTCCTGGTGAAGGAAAAGTGTCTTCAATTGAACTGAAAAGACCAATGTCAGCACAGGGTGACTGCACCCTTAGTTTGGATATTGCTTAATTAACATCCAAGAAAGCCACTATTCAATTAGTGCAGCTAATGAGGGGCACTGACAGGTCTCTCACTGGGAAGGAAAGTGCTGACTTTCAGTGCTCAGGAGAAACACGGCTTCATTCAGAGGAAGAGGACCCATCACAGGGGAAACCCCGGCACGCCATGACCTGCCACAGGCAGTGGCCTTCTCCTTCCCCAGTGCTAAGGAGAAGAAAATCTGACTTGAGCTCTATCTTCAGCATCAACCCTGCCAACCTCCAGTCCAAATGCATGGCACCTGCCCATAAGGACTGGCACTGAACAGCCCGGATAGGTGCTCAGGGGTGCACAGCACCGCTGCCCCTGCGAAATGAAGGGTAGGGAAATGAATAAGGCAACTCGGAGTCCTCTGTTACTGGAGGAGAGCAAAGCACAGGGTGGCAGGAGGTGCCCCACTGGCTGCTGCCTGCGGGACAAAACACCCCTTGCAACTCAGTGAAGCCACTAGAAAGAGATGTCGGAGGTCTCCCTCCCTTCCTCACGGCACAGCCCAGCTGCCAAGGAAAAGCCTGGTACAAAGGAAGTGCAGGGAACCAGCCCAGGTTCAACCCGGCACACCAGGCTCGTCCCCACCTTCAGAGCGATGCGCAGCTCCAGCGATGCTCACTTCTGTTCCCACTGCAAGTCATTACGCTGTTGCTATCTAGGTCAACAGCTAATTTTTAAAACCCCAGGACCCATCTTGACCCATTTATCAGGAGCAGTTGTCTCCTCTGCTGCCACAGTGACAGTGCAGCTTGTTCCCCGCAGTCACCTGCATCTCAAAACGTCACTTATTCGCGCACACCCCAGACGAAGACCTTAAAGAGCTGAAACACAGCAGTCGCCTTCCCTGCGAATACAAATCACAGGGCTGAGAGCTCGCCTATCGCTGCTCCAGAGCTGCTTTAAACTGCTCATCATGTGTGGTGACCTCAGAGCAGCTTCCAGTGTCTGAAGAGGGCCTACAAGGATGCTGGAGAGGGACTCTTCATCAGGGGCTGTAGAGATAGAACAAGGAGTGATGGGTTTAAACTGAAACAGGGGAAGTTCAGGTTAGATATAAGGAAGAAGTTCTTTACTGTGAGGGTGCTGAGGCACTGGAATAGGTTGCCCAAAGAAGTGGTGAATGCTCCATCCCTGGCAGTGTTCAAGGCCAGGTTGCACAGAGCCTTGGGTGACATGGTCTAGTGTGAGCCGTTCTCACCCATGGCAGGGGGTTGGAACTAGATGATGTTAAGGTCCTTTCCAGCCCAAACCATTCTGTGTGGTGGATCTACCCAACACACCCCCCAGCCCATCCATCACGCCTCTGGCCGCACGACAAACAATCCTCAGCCTTACGCACACAACCACCAATTTCAGCTCCTGTGGGGTATCCAAAAAGAGGGCTCATAAGTCACCCCATGTTTGGGGAGCAGAGGTGGGATGCTCTCCTGGGACTCAGGATGCTATGTCCATCACCCACCCAGCCAAGAGGCAGCCCCCAGAAGTGCCACAGTGCAGCCATCAACTGGCGCCACTGCCACCACATCCCTGTCAACCAGCCCTGTGCGTGGCAGTGACTCCTGGGGCTGCTTCTCAGTGAGTCTGTCTTGTGTTCCTCAAACCAGAGATGCCACCATAGGCTCCTCTCAGCCTGAGGTTATGGAATTGCTCCTCTGCATGCTTCCTGTTTCTATTCCTGATTTTTCCCTTCTTAGCAAGCACCTCTCCTCTGTGCCCACCAAGCCCAAAAGGCTGCTAAAGCTCACTCAGCAACACTTCCCACAGTTGCAAAATGGCACGTTTCTAGTATTTTTGGGTCTTCTGCCTATGTAGAACCCAAACCTGGGCACCATGGCAGAAGCCCACAAGGCCCTTCACACCCCTCCAACCACTGTCCAGGACGGAGCCTGTGCCCTCGTATCCATCCATCCCAGGGGGGACCAGCCCAGTTGCAAGCAGCATGATGGGAAACCCGGCTCCTTGTTAGATTTTACTTACAACTTTAAGGCTTAATTATAATGATTTGAGTTCAACGTGAAAAGAAACAGTATCTGGCACATCTCCCAGTGTGTTGTGCACGCAAATGCTTATAATTAGCGGCAGACAGGACACATCTGCTCAAACAATGCGAGTTGTGTTCGGCTCTTGTTTACACCAGCATCATCAATCCCCAAGACTTTTACCCTGCTGCCCACCTTGTGTCTGATCTGAGCATCACCAGCAGCCACATCCTTCAGCCTAATAAAAGCACCTCAAGTTTCCAAAGGTGACAAAGAAGCCCAGGAGCAGCCTTCACCCATGGGATTGTCAATTCCCTCCTTCAGAGAGCTGCACCCCATTCAGACAGGGATTTGCTACCAAAAGCTGTTTTGGGGTCCTACCATGTGCTGGTGACTTTGGGCTGAGACCTCCCCTCCTCTGGGAAAACCCTCCTGGTTTCAGAGCACGAACCCTGAAGGTCTTCAGTTTTCTTTTAACTTGAACTCAACATGTTGAGTGCATCCATCCCAGCTCCTCACCATACCCGGTCTTCCAGCAGCGCTTACTCTGGAGAGGAGTGGAAGCATCCTGGGAAAACCACCCCACACTGCTGACCCCCAGGGCTGGGGGGTGTCTCTTCCTCATCTTTTCTGGACCAAGGGGATTGACTCAGAGCCTGTCTTGTTTGTGCACTCCCATACCTAAATTAACTTCATCTCACCTGTCAGCAGCAGCAGGAGCCTTGTTTGCAGTGCTATTAATAGCAGGGGCTGACGTTTTACTCTCTCACACCACTATCTGAAAATAATCACTGCTGCAAAGATAAACACAAACCCCGACGACTACAACTCTCCCTGCCCTTCACATGCTCATCTCATAGCAGTGTCTCTGCCTTCACTTCCATCTGCCTCCATCTTCTGCGGTCCCCTGCAAACCCACTGCTGCGGTCATCCAAAGCCCTTCCAGCTCACTCCAAGGTCTGTTCTTCATGGACATATGGCATTTAACTATAGCTGCCCCTCAGTGCCACTCTGACGTGCTGGAGGTACCTGCTGGAGGTACCTGCTGGAGGTACCTGCTGGAGGCACCTGCTGGAGGCAACCAAAGCAAGCTTCTTTGCAGCACTGTCCCTTGCCTCTCGATCTAACCCTCCAGGCTGCCAAAAGGCAAAGGCAGAGGAGAAGCAGCCGTAGAAAGCCCACCACTACCTTGCTTCTCAACCTCCACTCCCCCAGCCCGCTGCCTCACCATGCAGAGCCTCAACTTCAGGAACTCAAGAGGTGAAAGATATAATAAAGGAAGAAATATTCTACAGTGAGAGGGGTGAGACAGTGGCACAGGTTTCCCAAAGAGGCTGTGGGTACCCAACCCCTGGAAGTTCAAGTTCAGGTTGAACGGGTTTTGAGCAACCTGGTCTATTGAAAGATGTCTCTGTTCATGGCAGAGTGGTTGGACTAGATGATCTTTAAATGTCTCTTCCAACTCAAACCATTCTATGGGGAAAAAAAACCCCAACCATTGGGATGCACACATCCATGGAAAAGGCACAAGATGGCTGTGATGTGCGTAAAAAGGAAGATGACTTTGGGTTGTTCATGCTTCACAGCAAGTCACAGCTTTCTCAGCTGATGGCACCCATGGCCTGAAAGCACACATGATGGCAGTGTCTTTCTGCTCTAAATTTAAGGATGATTCCCAGCTTTTGAGGACCAAAAGAGAGCATCTGTCTAATCCACCCACCCCTCTCCTGCAGCACAGGCTGCCCTTAGGCTCCACACACCCTGATGACTTCCCCAGAGCAGTGGCACCATGCTGGCTGCTCATCCTGCACCCAAAGCACCCACCACTCCTGCCCAAGGCCATGCAATCCCCTGCCTGTGCTTGCAGTCCTCC